AAGTATAAAATTAACATCCACTGATATCCTTTTCAATGTCAAGTTAACTACCACGTGAAAAAATATTTGCTTGCCTATTACCTTGTCACAGGCAAAACAGTCTCGATTCAGGGAATTTTTACTTAATTAATTTAGTGCCAATAAACACAAACTTTTGATCACTGATTCAGGTATTGAGAAAAACGAGAACAATCAAACAAACATTTAAGAAAAACACCATCCCCCCTCCTTCCCCAGACTCAACTTAAGTTTATTTTCCCCCTGGGTTACACTCAGTCCCTCCCAATTCCTCTGGTGAGGCAATGGGTGGCGTAGGAGGTTGGGGGAGGTCATGTGCATGTTGGTTTCTTTCTGCTGCTCTTTGCTTCTTGCCAATTTTTTTTTCTGCTGCTCTGTTTCTTAGTGTCCCTGTTCCAGCATGGGTCACCTATGGGCCGCAGTCCCCTCAGAGGTGTACCTCCTTTGGCATGGGGTGCCTCCTTCCAAGAGTGCGTCTCCAGCTGTGTCTTTAGCAGTCTCCTCAGCAGCATATTTACAGCCATGTGTCTCCAAGAGCATCTCCTACCCCTAGCAGCTGCCACTCTTTCTTAAATATGTTTGAGCAGGGCACCACGTGCTCCTCTGACTAGCTGAAGTTGTGGTGCGCGATGAGTTGTTGACATTGGTTTCAGAGCCAGCTGGAACCAGCTGTGACTGGCACAGGGCAGTTCATGACCTTCTCCCACACAGGGCACCCCTGCAGCCCCCTGCTACTGAAACCCTGCAATTTATGCCCAATACATTCCATGCTTTGCCTCTGCAAAATAAATATTTGAGAACTGTTCAAACATACATCCATTATAAACTCTACTTTCAACATCATCATAATCTTAATTCATTATAAACTCTACCCTTTGTCCCTGCAGGCCAGATGATAAGGGGTTAACATTGTAACAATGTGTACATAAACTCATTAAAATTATACCCCTCACCCCTGCAAACCATATTACAGGGGTTAACAGGTTAACATCATCACAATCTGAACTTTTATCTATTACAAACTCTACCACTTGCCCCTGCGAACTAGACTATAGGGGCTAACATTGTAACAATCTAAATACTTATTAAACACTTCAGGCCTTGTCCCTGCAAAAACACATAACCAAGAACATCATAACAGCTTAAGTTATTCACTATACCTTAGCATACAAGCAAATGATTAGCATAGTATGAGCAAAGATTAACACCACTATTTGAGGTACCAACAGGTTCATGAGTCCAATAACTGTATAGCTGGTCATGTTATTGACCTTCCTTTTTGCCACCCTTGTCCCTCCCTTTCTCTACCCCAATCTCCTCCCAAATAAACAACCTGCCCCTCATTACTTTTTCCCAGTGGTCCCATTTTTGCTACATCCATACCCAAATTTGGTATTTCTGATACCTGTCCCTAGGCACTCTTGGCCTTATATGCTATTACTGATACGGTTACCCAGGCACTGCTGGCCTTGCATCGTTCCACTCCCCAAAAGGTCCCCAATGCTCCCTGTCAGGTGTCTGTGAAGTCTGACTGTTTCTCACATCACTCCCCCTTAACCACCTGTGCAATCCAGCCTTCCTTCACAATGCTGCCTGTAACTTTTGTCAGCTTCTCCCTCTGTTATCTGTCACATCCAGCAATTTCTCATGTCACCTCCAGTAGTTTTCTACATCCTGTTCAGTTAGCCTAGGGCCCAGTGGCTTCAGGGCCTAGTCAGCAGCCTAGTCATTTGCCTGCAGCCCTAACACCCATACTCCTACTCTTACCACTTGGTGAATGTAAGATAGACTATTCCTCCATAAAAGTGGGTTAAATCACTTCAAAATCACAGTCAGAATGTGCATATGAGTATTTATTGTAGAGGAACTGAAATGCTGTAAGATCACAGCTAAATTCACCCTAAAATGTAGTAAAGTCCAAATGAAGATGACAGTTTGTGGTTTTCACATGTGTTAGGAGATCAAAATGAAGGATAGGTGAATTTCCCTTCACCTACTAGCACCTTTAAAACTGTAACCAATTTATCTTCATTAGTATGTACCTTGTATTCAGTGCCTTAGGTTAGCTAGCATAATATAAAAAGATATGTTTGTATTAGAAACAAGGTCACTGTCTACTGATTCATCCTCAACCTTCAATAGTAACCACAGGCCTCAGGAGGAAAAGGGTAAGTGACCATATTCCCCAGAAAAAGGAACATTGTGAGCAATGTGGAAAGAATTTTAGAGAAACAGAGCCATTCAGCAAGTGGTATGCAAAAAGAAGGGATTCTCATAATGGTGCAGAGAAAGAGTCATTAAGAAATAAATAAGGAAAAAAATACACAGTTCTAAATCTTGTCTATTCCTGTTTTGTAATGGCTTCAGCATGGTTCTGCTAACCACTAGAGACAAAGCCATATTGTGCTAAACCATTTTTTCAAAACAATTTTAAAACATAAATCACTACTCATCAGAATTATAACTAAAGAGCATACAGTACAGGAATAATTAATCTGAAGACTCATGTTCTCACTGATTTCGCATATTAATATGGCATGTAAAATGTTGGTTAAAGCATTAGTCATTTATTTGGATCTTTAAGTCACATGCCTGCTGTTATCATACAAATCTTGAACAGATGATAGCCATATTAGAACAGAATTTATTTTCCCACAAAAATAATATTGAAACAGAATAAATCCAGAGCAAGTATCCTTATACATCATTATCATTTCTGAGATTATATAAGATTGTCTGTGTGAGAGATGTCCTCCTGTAACCACTGCTATCAATAAAAACTCAAGATCACAAAAACCTTAAAGAAATTTGGGTCTAATTCTTCAGCAAGTTGCACATTAAATGTGTATGAAATAATACTAAGCAAAAACTACCTACCTACACAAGTGGTAGTTTACACATAAGTTACAGACTATGCAAGGTTTGAGGCATTAGACCCTCTAGCCCAAAGCATATAGCAAGTGAAAATCACCTTTTCAAATCACATCTTCTCATGAAACAGGAGGGGAGAGGGAGGAACAGAGGAAGGTATTTATTCTATTTGTATTGATGCAGGATGCAGACACTGAGATAAATGTCATATTTCTCTGGCAAGAACATACAAGGTCACATGACCTTGAGAAAACTAATACATTCACAGTGAAACAAAATTATTTTACTCCAATCTTTCATACGCACATCTCAAACTCAATCTGTAGAACTATCTCAGAAAGGGATTCAGTAGGTCCTTAGCTTCTTTACTGAAGCTGTCAGCAAGGGTGCCAGATAAGATCTAACTCTATCTTCAGTTGTGCCAGGAGCAGTTATAGAATTGGTCTTCTGAAAAGGGACTTTCAGAAGGGACTAGGGGACAGAAAAGCACATGTCCCTGTAAAATTTACAGTTGTTATTCCTTCAAAAGTGCCACCTCATAGTATCCTTTAAAATTTTTTTTCCTTTAACTTTCAAATGAAAAACAAGCTGTTATAAAATGGAGAACTCCATCAAGAGTTCTTGGTGACAGAACGCCTGCAATGGTGCATATATAAAATACACACGTGCATACATACATATATATATATATGTGCACACATCTATTTATATATGTATAGATCTGTATATATATTCTTGCATTTCACAGGAGCGTTGCATTTCAGGGATCTGCACTACTGAAGGTAGCAGATTTCTATGACCTTACCGTACCTGTATCGGAGGCAGAATTTTCAGGCATCCTCCCGGCTTCTCCCTCTGTCCCTGAACTTTGTCCATGGTCTCCCTGCTCCTTCTCTTGGTCCCTGCTCCCACCTCATGGCATGAATCTGCAGCTCTACTATCGACTTCAAAGGCATCTTGATCCCACTGCCAGCCACAGGGGGAAGAAGGGCCTGGCAACTCAGGGGGACCAGGATATAGAAGGAGGGGGCACAAAAAGCGAACCCCTCCCCAGCTGCTCTCAGCCCAGCCTCTCTCCAGCTCCTGCACCTGGCTAACGGAGCTGTCACTGCAGCCACTGAGGCATCTCATGGGGAAGCATTGTGTTGCTATGGAGACTCAAACATTCCATGCCAGAATGCCACAGCAGCCAGCGCATGGGTTTTGCAGCTCGGTGTGAATAGACACACGGGTCAGGGAGCTCTCACTGAGCACTGCTAGCCATGGCCGAGGAGAGGGAGATGTATGCAAACTCGGACATCTGCCAGCTCAGTGGTGTCTGCGCAGGCAATCATTTGGGTACATGCATATACCTTCAAAGAAACTGCACAAACACGTTACAACACTAGAGCAGACCTGTGCACATATACACATTTGAGAAAATTCCTGGAGTAGCCTCTAGATGAAGGAGATGAGGAGACAGCAAAGACTATTGACTGGCCCTCCATCTTTACAGAAGATTTCCATGGAACTCTGAAAAAGAAAACACAGAAACATCTCATTTTTAGCAAAAACTAAACATTGATCTGCATATATTACAAAAATGATTCATCATAAAGAACCATTTCCCACACTGATGCAATGATCACCTGGTGCTCCATGACAACATCCAAACCTGTGACTGTGAAGCAGATCTGAGCTACACATATACCAGCTCAGAAGGCAGAGGACTAAGTGGAGCAGACTGAGCTGCTCCTGGGATTTCTGCATTGAAGGCCTTCCTTTTGCTGCTTGCAAACAGATCACAACTGATCACCTTCCACTCAGCGATGACTTCAGTAAGGCTCTTTCCCCAAAAAAAGTTTTCAGAGCCACTGACCCAACCAAAGCAAGCTCAATGATAAACAGATCGCACATCCCACAGTCTCCCATGTCACACTGGAGTTAAGACACCCCTAGCTCGGAAGAGGCAGGGCCGCCTCTACCCATGTGACCTGGGCCAGTGTGGGGTGACGTAAGGGGCGGGGGCAAAAATAAGCTCTACGTCTGTTGTTGGAGGTAGTGTGTAGTGTCATTTCCGGAGAAGCTTGTAATGACCTCAGGCAACAGGAATATCCGGTTCGGGGCTGGAGTTGGTATTGTGCAGTTTGTAGTGAGGATGGCGCTGTGGTCTTGCTCTCAGAGTCTTGGCTCGGCTGAGGAGGATGAGAAACGGGGACTGACTCTTACATCTTTGCAGCGCCTGTCGGAAACGCAGGTACATCCCTGTCCCTCCCCATACCGTTCGTCGTGCCGTCTGCTGAGCTTGTACGGGGCTCAGTGTGCTCCTCCCCTCCTCTGGTAGGGGTCTTCGGACGCACATGCCAGTGGCGCAGGTTGCCCTTGCTCGACCGAACCTCAGGCAGAGGCATGTGTGACCCCCCCCCATCGCTGGGGCATTCTATGTTGCCAGTGCTTGCACCTGCAGGGCTCATGCCTGTTGTCAGCTCTCCAAGCTCTCTGGGAAGGGCTTTTGACTGTCAGTTTACAGAGACCCGTATCTGTTTCGGGCTCATACACATGCACTTCTCTGCGCTGTGTGGCATAAAATGAAACTATTGGAGAGGTGCAAAGGTGTGAGTCTGAGAAGTCGTGAAATATTTTTTCTTAAATGAGTCTGGTGCATTGAAGGTGGGAGTGTAAACAGGCATGCATAAGTGCATGCTTATCCTGTACCTGTTTGGCTATCCTTGGACATGTCAGAAAAGACTCGTGTACTAATGCTATAGGTAATATTGGAATTTGTCACCAGCCCATTGTCACAGGCAAAACAGTCTCAACTCAGGGATTTTTACCAATTAACACAAACTTAATTACAGATTCAGGTATTGAGGAAAAAAAAACCCATAAACCATTACATAAAAATTTGGGAAACACCTTTCCTCTCCCTTCCCCAGGTTCAACTTCAGTCCAACATCTTTCCTCTCCCCTTTCTAGTCTCAACTCCCCTTGTTTTCGCTGGGTTACGCTCAGTCCCTCCCAATTCCTTTGGTGAGGTGACAGGCAGGAGGTTGGGGTCATCTGCGTAATGGTTTCATTCTGCCACTTCTTGCTTCTTACTCATTTTTCTCCACTGCTCCTTGCTTCTTATTCATTTTCCTCTGCTCTAGCATGGGTTCCTCCATGGGTCACAGTCCCTTTGGGGTTGTGCCTGCTCCAGTGTGGAGTGCCTCGTTCCAAGAGTTCATCTTCAGCTATGCACCTACAGTGTCTCCTTCTATGTCACCTCCATTTCTCTTCCCCCCAGCAGCTGCTATTCTTTCTTATGTTTTTATCAGAGGTGCTGTGTGCACCAAGTTTTGACATGCAATGGATTGTTTTCATCGGTTTCAGAGCCAGCTGAAACCAGCTGTGACTGGCACAGGGCAGTTCATGACCTCCTCCCACACAGGTCACCCCTGCAGCCCCCTGCTACTGAAACCCTGCAATTTATGCCCAATACATTCCACCTCTCACCTCTGCAAAACACATATTTAAGAACTGTTTGAATATGCATCCATTATAAACTCTACTTTTAACATCATTACAATCTTAATATACATGTATTATAAACTCTACCCTCTGTCCCAGACAGTAGGGATTGACACTAATAATGTGTACATACACTCATTAAAACTCCACCCCTCACCCCAGGTACTAGATTACAGGAGTTAGCACCATACCAATCTCAACATATACCTATCACAAACTTCAGACTTTGTCCTCTACTCCATGATCTTCAGTCCATTTTTGGATGGCTGTGTTTTTGAAATGACTTCTGTTATCCAGTTCTAGCCTAAGCAGCATTCCATGGTGCTAACAGATCTGTTTGTTTATTCCTTTTAGGGTACTACTCGCATTTACTTTTCTGAGTGGGGAAAGCTTTTGGTCACCTTTGTGATAGCTCTACCATTGGGAGAATATAGCACTTGCCAGTGTTGCTGATGGGAAGGGGACCTATATAAACTGCTTGCCAGACTTCTCCAAACAATCATTTCTCCTGTTGTGCACACTGTTTCATCATTTGTACTTTCCAAGTGTGTCATATTATTCCACAGATCTCACACTGCCTAATTGCTTGCATTATGGCTTCCTGAGACAAGTCTAAGCTGCATTCTCTGCCCCAGCAGTAAGTCTGATCCCTTCTGGCAGTTTCATGGGCCCACCTGGGTAAAATAATTTTCCTTTATGCTCCCATCCCAAGTCTATGCTGGCAAGTCAGGTCAGCTGGTTGGCCTGGTTATTGTGTATCTCTTCCTGAGTTACCTTTGAATTTGAGATATGCACATTAACATGATGTTTTAAAGTGGGTCTTTCTTAAAGTCATTGTTGTATTACTTTCCATTTTTCCACTGCCAAATTGGTTTTCCTTGCCACTGCCAGTTGTCACAATTCCATTCTTTGAGACATTGCCACACTGCATTAGCCACCATCCAGGAATCTGAATATACATATGCTCAGGGCCACTGATGCTCCTGAGTATGTTCCAAGGCTATTTTCAAGGCCCTTACTTCTACAAACTGACTGGTGCTTCCAGTCCCTTTGCAGGTGGCAGCTTCTCCTGTGGAGGGGTTCTAAGCAGCAGCTCATCACCTCCTGTTTCCTGCTATGATTTTACAGGATTCATCAGTAAACAAACTCCATTGTTTATCTTCATCACTCAAATCATCATATGCTAGGGCTTCAACAGCCTGAGGAGTTCAATCTATCTTCCTCATATTAGTCAGTGGCCAGCAAATCAATAATAACATAAAATTCAGGACAGGTAGTCTAGGGCATAACCACAGTGGCTGCTGTGCCTAACACTTCAGTGGTACACGGATCATTTTCATATGCTGCCAGGACCTCTTGTTCCAGAGGGGCGTAGTTATTTTCTGCTCCTTTGTAGCTCTGACTCCAGAATCTAATGGCCTTCCTCTCATCTTGAGAGGCTTGTTGCCACAAACTCCATACAGTGCTATTCTTTCCTGAACTGGTATATAACAAATCTTTAACATTGCTACCTTCCCAGATTGGTCCTAATGCCATCGCACAGGCTATCTTCTGCTTGAGCTGCTTGAAAGCTTGCTGCTGTTCCTCTTCCCACTCAAAATGACTCTTTTTTTTTTCAGGTCACTTGATAGAAGGCTTTGATCAATTGTCTGTAACTGGGGATGTGCATATGCCAAAATCCAGTAATGGCCATGAAGGCATGGGTTTCTTGTTTATTGTGTGGAGGGGTCCATAGCACTTATCTGAGCAATTTGATCAGTCGGAATGTGTCTCTATCCATCTTGCCATTGCACACCTAAAAACTGCATTTCTTGAGTGGGCCCTTTTACTTTGGAGCGCTTAATGGCAAATCTGGCATTGAGAAAGATAATGATTACCTGTTGCCCTTTACTTAGTACTTCTTCTGGAGTTGTTCCTCCAATCAATACATCAACAAAGTAGTGGAAGAAATCTCTGGAGATCTGTTGCTTTAAAGTTTGGTGAATGATGCCATGGCAGATGGTAGGGCTGTCTTTCCACCCCTGGGGCAGCCAGTTCCAGGTGTACTGCATACCATTCCTGGTGAAGGCCAATTGGGGTTTTGCTTCTTCAGGCAGAGGGATTTCTTTTTCTTTGAAAAGAAAGCATTTGCAACATCAGTTGTAATGTACCAGGTATATCCTTTGGCTTCTAGCTCATACAAGAGCTGCAACATGTCTGGAACTGCAGCAGCCAGTGGGAGTGTGACTTCATTCAAAGCTCTAAAGTCTGTTAACTGTCATTCTCCAGTAAGCTTCCTTACAGGCCAACAGGACTGTTGTAAGGTGACTCCATTTTCAAGACCCCCCCCTTGTTTTTCCAGGGAGTCAATTAATTTTTTGATTTCACCAGTGGCCCCTTGGTCAGTTTGATACTGTTTTTGGCAAATTACTTGGGTTGCCAAGGGAATGACAATTGGGTCTATCTGAGCATGTGCCACAACATTGGGGTCAGTAGAGAGTCCTGGAGAGTCCTGTAGCTGGTTCCCTTCTGTGCAAACCACACTTCCTATTCCAAAAACCCAAAGCCTTTTTGTCCCATCCATCTTTCTGTGGTGGTCAAGAAAGTTAATCCTGAGGATGACAGGAGCAGTAGGACCAGTGGCAACAGGTAGGGGGTACCAATCCCATCTATTCAAACTGAGACTCCCTTCCACTAGAGCTAAGCATGTCTCTCTTCCAGTTGCTCCATGAATGACTGCTCATTTATCACTGCTACACAATGAGGGGAATAAGGTGCATTGAGTGCCAGTATCCATTAGGGCACGATGTTGTTGAGGCAGAGGGGTGCTTGGCCACCTTATCTAGATAGTCCAATAAATTCAGTTATCCCCAGGCCAGCAGCAGGGCCCCCCTAATGCAGTAAATTCAAATCAGTTGTCAGAGCAGTATGGGGTCCAGAGATAGGGGCAGGGAGAAGGCAATGGTTTAACTGAGCTCCGACCTCTCCCGTATGCTTGCAATTCCTTAGCTCGCAGTGCTAGATCTCTAAAGGGCCTTCCATCCCACTCTGTCATATCCTCTCCCTTTTCTTTCAAGAACATCCATAAGTCCCAGTGTGTAGGAGGGGGGCATGCAGAATTCCCATTCTTTCCTGATGTTTTTCCCAAGGTTGACCATACTACTAGATCCTCAGTATTATCCTTGGCCATGCTGCTAATCTTGTGCCATTCTTCCGACATGCTCCCTCCAGTATGATACATATAGGTCACTCCTTGATCAACAGGGTGTCCCACCACATTATCAGGTGATACTAGAGGGGAGTTAATAACTGTGCCTAGCCATCAGAGCTTTTGGGAAATGGCATCAGTGATCACCCCCTTTTCAGAGTCCCTCCCCTCTTACCTGGAAACATACTCCAGCAGCCCAAGCAACTGCAATTGATTACCTCCCTCATCCCCATGAAGGGACTGGGAAATTTTGTTTGCAGGATCAGGCCACTGCTCAACATACCCCTCCATCAGCTGATCCCAAAGCCCTCCTCCCTTGCACAAGTCTGTGTTTACAAGTGGCATAGGCCCCAAACTCCCCAGAGCTCTGCTCTCTTGAGCCATCAGCTGTATCCCAGTGATTCTGGTTTCTCAGCTCCACCATAGCCACTGCAGGGGCATCTCCCTGGGGCAGCAGCTGTAGGTGTCTCGCATTTTTGTAATTTCATTTCAAGTAAAGGACTGCTGAGTGCTCACACTCTGGGAAGCAATGCTCCTGTTTTTGTAGGTCTGCTTAATCA